ATCAAATTACACAGAATCATAATATTCACAATATTTTAAAGCAAGTCATGAATGTCTGCTAAGTCAAAGGAGTTTCCCAGAAAATCACATTTCTCTTTGGAAAAGGTAGTACTACAGAAATTTTTCAGTGGTGGGTTAAGGAAGATTTATTCATGATTCTTAAGCTTTCTTTTTTTTTTTTTTAAAGTCACAGGCCTCTTTAATAATCTTATGAAAGCGATAGATCTAGAAAAATGCATACAGACACAAACACAATATTTGCACATGACTTCAGCTACTTCAGTTTCACCAAAGATCATCTATGATACTAGAATTCATAGCAAAACATGGGGCATGAAAAGAGAAGTAATTATTTTAATGTCTTTATTTTTAATAATACCTAAGACTTTCCATTAGAAAACTCTAATAAATTACTTTTAAAATTGTATTTACTTTTCTCACCTTGCATGCTGCAATCAGTTACTCTCGTTGAGTTTAGAAGACAAGAAATTATTTCATAAGTATTGTTTTAGCTTAACCTCTAAAAAAAGTTCTAGTTTTATACTTTCTTACTTGTAATGTTGAGCTGATATTTGATATATGTACATTCATTGGATAAAAATACCAGAGTTTAAAAATAACAGTGGATATAGAGTAAAGTTGATCTAAAGAAAACAGATTAAGTTCAATACATATCATTTAGGTAAATTAATATTTGCTTTTTAAAAAGCACAATTTATTCAACATCGAACACATCAGTCAGCTTGTAGAAAGCACAGTGAAAAATTCCATTTCTTAAAAAAAAGCTTCTGTATAAAATTACAATGTTAATGACACCCTAGGGGCTAGGAGAAATGAATTATGTTACTATCACTCTATGGGCAATTATAACTGAAATAGCTGTACTATATGTAAGCTATATTTTCATTAAAAGACTAAGTGAAATTACATGATAATTATATTTGTCATAGAAAATGAGAGGGGTTATTTCACTCTCTAGTATGTAGCAGTGTTTGAAATTTAAAAAAAAAAAAAAAAAGCCCGGAAGTCCCCGAATTTAAAATCTTTTTAAAAAGGAATAGTGACTGGCACTTTAATGGTTTTGTTGGTTTCCAATGCTAGCAGTATTCAGAATGCTCCTAAAATGTGAGTTTAATGCTAGGATTTGTGGAAGAATTAGAAAATATTTTATTTCATGTTTTAATTTTGCTATTGGTATTAAAATTGTTAATATAGAAATTTTAGGGCTTCCCTGGTGGCGCAGTGATTGAGAGTCCGCCTGCCGATGCAGGGGACACGGGTTCGTGCCCCGGTCCGGGAAGATCCCACATGCCGCGGAGCGGCTGGGCCCGTGAGCCATGGCCGCTGAGCCTGTGCATCCGTAGCCTGTGCTCTGCAACGGGAGAGGCCACAACAGTGAGAGGCCCGCATACCGCAAAACAAAAAAACAAAAAACAAAAACATGAATATAGAAATTTTAAATGATCGGTAATCATTCTTTTCAAATTAAGATATTTGAGCTCTCTGAGCTGTGGTTAATTTTACTTTTAGTGAGATACTTAACAGATAATCATATTCCAAGGATTCAATTAATTTCTAATCATTACCAAATATCTATTATTCTCTCTATAAATCATATACATTAATAATCATGTCTTCTGGTTCAAACTTGTGACAAATATTCTATTTTAACTCATAAATTTTTCTTACTATTTAGATTGACACACCCATAATCCAGTAACGATGTCAATTTATTCCACAATATACAGTTGAAAAAGAAAATGCAAAATAAGAAAAATCTGTAGAAAAGTTAAAAGAACTGCCAAATTAACACTGAAGCCTCTTCATTGATGTTTATGAAAAACAATTTTACTGAAACATGATCACTTGTATAAACAATTATTTTAGAATACACACAAATGTACACATAATCAGGAAATAATGAGAAATGGTTTTTTTAAATGTTAATTATATGTAATTATCTGGCTTTTGATATGAGTAGGTCAATGATAAGCTGTTTGCATTTTGCTTCTGATCTTGGAATCCGAGAGCAAGCAGTGAGGACATAACAAACTACATTTTTGCTGGCAAGTCAAGGGGTCTAGTCATGACTTTGAAAAAAAACTAATTTGGAGATTTCCTTTCTTTGACAGATGAGAAGATGTCAAATTTCACTTGTTTAGGAACAAAGATAGTACATTAATCGTTTTTGGAAGGTCAAAGCGAAGTCATTTAAAACCATTTTAGGGATTCGGTTTGTTGTTGGTATTTTTTAAAGCCTTTAAAAAAACCTGCTACTGCTGCCATTTTCCTTTGGTATTGGCCTTGGTCCTGTCTGTTCTGCCTCTGCTTCCATACCCAGTGAGTTTACTCTGAAAGCAGAATTACAGCTGTCACCAACACCAGCAGGTCTTCTTGAGAGCGATACAACACAGAGAGCAGCCTTGTCCAAGAGTAAAAAAAAAAAAAAAAAAAAAAAAAAGACCACATTTAATAAAGGGAAAAAAAGAAATGAAACGAGTAAGAAAGAAAGGAAATCGCATTTACCTTTGTAAACTTTACAAAAGCCTGCAGAATTGCTAGTCTGGATGCAGTTGGTTTTAGAAAAGAATAAAAACAAAGTATAACGGAAAGTATCTAGCTTTTGACAAAACAATCTGCCTGGAGAGTCTTCCAGGTTCATTAGATGGAAAGCCATCCTTAATTCTTGGAGGTGAAAATCGTGGTCTTCTCTAAGGGGCAGCTGGAACCCACAGGTACTTTGCTAATCACACACCGCCTTGAAAAGAATCTGAATTCTCTTGCTTAATTTTGTCATGGCTTCTTGGCCACCAGCGGCTGTGTCCCTCAGGCTCACCCTAGGAATTCAGTGTCCCCATATCTTTCCTTAATAAGCTTTTTTCCCAAGCCCAGGGGGGAAAAAATATAGGATTCATTTCAGTTAGGCTACCACTGTGTTCTTATGATTTAGTTTCGAGTTTTGCAAAGTAAAGATTTAAAATCAACCACATCATAAGCTAAGTAATTCTATTTAAAGCAATGAGGTGTTGTCCTGGCAAGGTTAAATCACCAGAACTGCTTCAAGCTGCTTCAGGCAGTACCTCTTGGGAAATAATCTTTTCAGTGCCAAGTAACTGACCCCCTAAGAATTACATGATGCTAAACGTAAAGGTCACAAAGCTATGGGCTAATCAACGTCAAAAATTTCTTTAAATTAGTATCATTGCTGAGAAGATTAAGCTAACACCATTTAAATCTGCTTTTATCACAAATAGAGATTACTTGGAATTGCTTTAAGCTTTAATCGTAGAGTACAGTTGATTACAATTCATTTGACTTCCTCAAAGCTCGAAGCAGGTGACCCAGGAGGTACCACGTCACAGGCAGATGGCAGAAAGAAGACACATGTACATTTTCTCATTGGGTATACAGCCTTTTATAGATACAACTCACATTTTTCAATAACTTGTCTCAATTCCTAATTCTCTTGAGTAGCATTTTGCTTTATATTACTTATTAGGACTCCTTATATATTGTCAAGTAATTAATACATTTCTGAACTGCTTTTCTCAAGATCTCTATTGAACCATCCTTTAGTCATAATAGTCATCACTTACGGTCTCAAGTCAACATTTTCAAAGCAAGTGTGCGTGATTGCTTCATCCACATACCTGTGACATTAGGGATTGATAATCGTCTAATTTACTGAATTTAAACAAAGCTAAACATCTAACAGCTTGGTGTGAAAATCACAAGTAAAACATTTACCCACACATTTCACAGCATGTATTTATCTCCTGGGCTATGAGCCTGTATTTGAACACACAGTAAAAGCTACATATTTATTGAATTTTTATAACAAGTGTCAGTGCCTTTTATCAGGGATCACAGGCCGTGTTTAATCACTGCAATGGAAAAAATGTGTCAACAAGTGTCTTTATAAACTCCTTGTAAGACAGGAAGTCAGCACTCACCTCAGTTAGACATATCAAAATGTCCACTATCTTTTAAATCACAGGGCCTCTTAGCAGAAGCCCCAGTACAAGAATTACAAAACAGTATGGGTTGTGGTCAGATACAGGTGTATATACACAACTTAAAAATAAATTGTAGCACCTGTTGCAGAGATTGGCAAGAGATAAGTTGTGAAACATAAACGTAGGTCTCACAACGCAGGTATACGTACTCGACTGTATTCTTCACTCTTCATTTGTAAGAATGTAAAAATTAAAGGCAGGGTTTTAAAGCCAAGCTGCTTGTGATGGATTCTGACTTAAAATAGCTCATACTTTATTGAAGGCTATAATTCTTCCCATCTAAACAATCATTCCTGTTACTTAGGAGATGATAAAGGCATAACTGGAATACACATGTTTATTTACAAATTTAAATTAAAGAGCTAAAGTTCTATATCACATTTTCAAAAAGTATGAATTTCATTTATGTTTTCTTCAGAAATAGAAAATGAATCTTTTAGCAAGTCCATTTTTAAGAATGGCAAATATTCATGAAAAGTGGCTGGTAGAAATGAAGGATTTAATAAGAATGCCTCAGAAAAGCAGGCGCTCTTCCATTACAAGAGTTTTTAAGTGACTCCTGCAGCTGAGGGTGTCACATGGTGTGCATGCATGTAAATAAACACGTGTATCTCTGTGTGATGTGTTCTATCTATATGTACAAGCAACAACCAGTTCATTCAACAGGAAGCATATTTTCACAATTAAATTCGGTTTCACTTAATGACTCATGAATGGAACTGAGATTATTTCATATCCGATAAAGACATAGGATCCTTTGCTTTTGTTACTAACCGTTGTGTCCCCCATTCTGTGTGATTTGAGTCACGTTCCTCTTTAGAGCGACAGTTGCTAGCGTTGTATCTTCTGCCTTTTTTTTGTTAATCGTGTGATTTCGAAATTTTATTTGGTTGAAGTCGTATCAAAAGCATTGCAATCTTAAACCATTCAGTTCCTCAGAGGTGCTTCGGTGTTTTAATAGTCTCCCGTTGTGTGTTTTTGCAGCAAGCTTAGTAGTGGAGGAGCGAACGAGACAGATGAAAATGAAAGTGCATCGATTTAAGCAGACAACAGGGTCTGGTTCTAGTCGAGAACTTGATCGCGAACAATACTCCAAGGTAAAACCAGTAACCAACTAATAGTTCCCCTGGTAAAAAAGTACATTATGGGTAGCAGGTAGGACCAGTGAGCACCAGGTTACAGGAGAGAGGTTATCCTTCAGGTGATGCTCTTGCATCATAACCTCTCTCCTCTTGATATTTTCACAAGATATAAGTTTAGTAACATATTGTCTATTAACCTGGATTAAATGTTTTATCTAAAAAGAAAATGAAAATACGTGATATGAAAGTCACTTGATGATCGATTGTCGTGGTCAGATTCACATAAATAAGCAAGATATGTGAAGCCATTTTAAGCCATTTTATTGCTTGAATATCACTTAATATTGTATTTTAAATATTAAGATATAGATTTATACTCTTAAATACTATTTGAGGTTGATATTCCTATGGAGATTTCTTAGTGAATGACAGAAATTATGTGATGTGAGATTTCTTATTGATCTGTCTTTAGTGAGAAAAATAACTGATTTCAAAGTCTTAGAAACTGAAATCCACACAATTTCAAGTGAATAAAAATTTAATATATATTTCAATATTATTTTGTATGGATGCAATAAGGAGTTTATAAACTGCTAACTAGCATCTGATAATTTTGATTAAAATATGCATAGAATTTTATACTTCATGAAGCAATTTTAAATTTATTATCTGCTTTATTTAAAAACCTTTTTTTTAGAATACTACAAAAGTGGCAGCAGCCACTACAGGAAAACCCGTGTTTTAATCTGATGTCAAGAATACTTTTGGAAGTAATGACCTTTTCGAAATTCAAAATTAAATAAAACGTTGTTAGCTTGTTATATGAACCTAGAAAAACCTACTCACTTTTAAATATTGGAGGTTGTTCATTATATAGCCAGATATTCAGGGACTAACACAAAAATATGGAGGTGGTGACAAAATCTGATTTGTCACCAGCCCACCATAGAGCCATATGTGCTGGATGCCATCTTATCACTTTATATCTTAGTTTAGTTGCAGAAGGGTTGCAACTGGACAACGTCCAAGGTCGCTGTGATTCAGCGGGGCTCAACTCCCAAGGAGTCTGAAACAGCATTTTAAAAAGTAAAATCAGTAAAGAAAAAAAAAAATCAGTAAGCAAAATATCTTGATGTTGCAGAGTTGCTGATTCCAGCTCCACATAGTTTTTCCTCCAGTTTGTTCTTTATGATATTATTACTTCATCTGCTATTTGTCTGTCTTTATGGATATCATCATCATTTTTGCTTGCTTTTACCACAAATGCAGTAAGAATTAGGAAGCAGCATAAGTTAGGTTTTCTTCCTCTACTGTTGCATGTTCTTATTTAGAAACGATCTTTAAAGCTGGAAATGTTTTCTTAATTTCTTAGCATTATGTCAAAGGACGAGGTCAAATAGAACAGCAGGGATAGGCAGAGCCAGTGCAGGAAACAAGAAAGAGATAAATAAAGAATCAGTGTAAAAAGACTGAAAGCCTTTTCTGAACTAGGCCTCGCATCATTAATCCATCGATCAAAAACAAAATAAAAAATAAACTATAAAATGAAGTCCCCTAGAAGTCTAAATCACCACTAACACATATCCATAATGAAATCAAAAGTAGGTTTATCGGGCTCCCCTGGTGGAGCAGTGGTTGAGAGTCCGCCTGCCGATGCAGGGGACACGGGTTCGTAGCCCGGTCCGGGAAGATCCCACGTGCCGTGGAGCAGCTGGGCCCGTGAGCCATGACCGCTGAGCCTGCGCGTCCGGAGCCTGTGCTCCGCAACGGGAGGGGCCACGACAGTGAGAGGCCCGCGTGCCGCAAAAAAAAAAAAAAAAGTAGGTTTATCTTGGTTGGGAAATTCCAAATTCTCTGATGGGTAGAAATTTAGAACTTGAAAATACCTCAAAATGATCTTCAATTCCACCTCTCTTATTTACCAGATTCATGAAAACTGAGGCCCCCTCAGACGAAAGGAGGTGCTTTCCCAACATTAACAAAGCCTTTCTAGGGAGTGGTGAACCCACCAACTCCTGATCTGGAACTTAGATGCCCTTCGTTCCTCTTCTGACATCACTGAAATGTACACATGACTCCAGTTTGATTCAGAGATTCTTCTATGGCTTTTGTTTTGCATGCAGTTAAATTATCATATTCTATCATTCCTTCCTTATTTGCACAGACATTCTTTTCCTTTTCCTCTCTCATTGCATTTAAATATTAAAAAACCCATTACTTTCAAATACATTACTATTGCTCTTACTGCATACATTGATACTACTATATTACATAAATAAAATTATTATAAATTATGTTGATAAGTGTGAGATCAAAGATATGGTATCTTTAAAAACATAAGGCTATAGGACAGGAAAAATATATAAGGTAACATAACAAATAATTAGCTTATTTTTAATTTTATATGTTAAGTAAAAGGTAAGTACTCTCTGCCATTCTAAGATTCCTAATGAACGCTTACAATAAAATTTTTAAATAGTTTCCAGTAGCAATTCCAGTTAAACCTCTCGCATTTTTTCCTTTCTTAAATTTATCCTTTTACCTCAACCTTTTTACAATTTACAAAGATCTATTTTTATTGATATAGTTGAGAACCAGTGTTTTCATAAATTTAATGTACATTAAATTTTGAACTTTATTCCTTTATTGACTTATTTTTAGTGTTTTAATCCATTTGGCATTTTGGATGAAGAAATGCACCTTAGTTGAAATTCTGCCAAATTAGAAATTGGTTAACAGCTTTCAAAATATTTATAACCAAACACCAACAGAACTAGATTTTCTTCAGGGCAAAGAATTACCAGACACATGTAGTATAATTCCTAAGATGTTTCAAACCTGGCATCTCCTTTAAAGTATTAAATGAACCTAATTCCATCCTGAGTAAGGAATTAGCACTAACTTAGCTTTTGAGAAAACACAAAACTTCGTGTCTCTGAAATGTGACACTGTGCTAATTGTTCACTGATGTTAGACAGAGTCGCATGCCTTGGAGATGGAGTAAAATTCATAACTGGAGAGTGAATTTGCATGTAGGCCTCACATTTTAAAGAGTACTTGTATTTCTGTAACCCAAAAACAGCAAGAAGGATTGACGTGATGGTTTTTGTAGGCAGCTGCCAAGAGTTTATTATTACTTATGAAAATAGCAGCCCTGTTATTAGAGCTTCCCCTCACATCAAGGACAAATTTCCCTGCTATGTGATCAGTGTATATTTCTCCTGAGAAGGCTACATTTCTCAAAATATAATTAACGTATTTCTATTAAAATATTTAATTGTTAAATAGGAAATTTAAAGAATCATGCTTGATGAAAAGTCAAAGTGATTATTTAAACTTTTAACAGATTTTGAAACTAAGTAGATGTAGTAGTATAAAGTGAGTATAAAAGCCTTTCCATTCCTTCAGATAACCAATGTGAAGAAAACTGTGACATGGTGTCAGAATGGTGGATTATTCTTTACTCCAATATAAAAGATTTTTAATATGACAAACAATCTTTTAAAATCCCTTGTTTTATCTCGTGGCTGGAATAGCAAAAGTCTATAGACAAAAAGGAGAAGAAGACATGATTTATAGAAACGGAGGATTTGCTTAGTTGGAGAAATAATTCCATGCACACTCACATGATCTTATGTTATAGTCTACACTGCTTATTATTGGCATTTGTCAAATAAGGGGAGAATTTGTGCTGGGGTCACGCCATGCCAGAAAACCTCTTACAGCTGGGCAAATTTTTATTGTATTAGAAACCAATTCATTCATATTCTCTCATGGACAAGCTATCATTTCAATGTTGGGAGACATTATAATAATCACATAACATATTTACTTAGCAAAATAGTTTCATAAACAAGTAATATAGGAAATATGTTTGTGCCCCAGTAACAGAATTAAATTCAGATTCCACTATGTGAGCACATTTTTTACATCTATTCTGTAAATAAAAAACAGTTCTTATTGAAATGAATCCTGTCAGTCAGCACCACGCTATCAGATAGGAAAGAATTTAGTGCTAAAACATTATCATGTCACTTTATCATAAATCATATTAATTTTAAATCATACGTGAAGTTATATAAATAGCTCAGTTCTGAACATAATAGCATATATGCATGTCCTTTTGGATCATAATGAAGCACATGGCTTTCAAAAACAGATCATGCAATTATGAAAAAATTCTTTGGAAAGATAATTTTATAGATACTCTAGGAATTTGAAATTGTTTTCATGCTTGATGTGAAATTCTTTGCCCAAAACATACACGAGAGATGAAAAATTAAAACTAACATTTAAATACCTTAGGCCTGAGCTACTAACGCTTGAAGGATTATTAAATAAACATCATCCTTTCTCTAGAAGTTTTTAAAAAGTATTATTGTCTTATAGTTCTTTTCGTATATACAGATCTACAATTTAGCATCATTTGATTTAGTACTCTTTAGCAAGACAATTGTTTATACAAATTTTTAGAAATAGAGTGTTCGGATTATTTTAGATATATTAAAACTCATTTGATATGGAACTGAGAGGATGGGTGAGTTTTTCTACAAGTTTAGCAAACATTTGATATTTTCACGCCTTAGGACATGAATGCAAAATTAAATTGCTTGATAAGAAACTGAAATACCCAATGTTTGGTCATGTGTCCCTTTAGTTATGTGTTCTTTTATTTTATATAAGAAGTTATATTATCTTACCTTCCAGTACCTAACAATAGAAAATCAAGTATATATTTGCTATTTTAAAGTTGTAGGTACTTATATAACCTTACTATTTATTATGATTAAAACACACATATAAAAATAAAAATAGAGACTGTGTAAAGCTCTTCACTGTGTGATTCCTTGCACTAAGAGTGAAGTAGAAAAAAAAGAGTAGATTAACTGCTTTGAAACCTTCACAAGTTTTCATCTTTTACCTAATGCTTTCTAAGACCTCAGGTAATGAATACTAGAGACAAATATAAAGACACATTTAAATATGAGATCTAGTGTATCTTGAAATTTTAATAGGAATCCATTTTTTACTCTCAGCACTTAGTTGATAGTTTAAACCTGAAAATAACTAATTAAGCCATAATAGCAAGAAAGTCAAAGTCCCGTCTTTACCCCCTTCTCTACAATGTCTTTGGCACAATCCTTCTGCTCTCATGTCAGTGCTTTTTTGCAGAGAGATGTGTTTTTTGGTTACATTTGAAAGAATGTGATGTCTTAGCATAGGGAAAGTGTGTAGGTAAATTGAATATAAGTTTTAGACTCAAGGATTACAGACAGATGGAAGCAGTCTACTCCATGGATAGAGTAGAAGGTGAGTAGAATCTGTAGGCAACGATGAAAACCCAGGCAAGGGAAGATGAACTGATGTACTAGAAAAAATAAATAATACAATTCTGAGGTCTTAAGTACGTGCAAATCATTTATTCAATGAATTTTCCACCCAAGCATTGACACTCTCGTTTTACGATTCAGTCCTTATAAACCACTCCTTACCATTCGAAGGGGGCCGGTTTGTGATACTGGAACCCATGTATCATGCTAGCGTTTGGGTCCTTTTAGACTCCACACCTATGTTTACGAAAGTGCACTTTTGCTTGATGTGGGCTGAGTAGCCGTTAGCCTCACCATGTGTGTCTCTGTTTGCCAGCCTCCGATGACAGAGCTCACGCTCTCTTGTTTTCCATCCTTAGTATAACGTACATACAGATCAGTATCGAAGCTGCGACAGCGTCTCCGCCAGATCCTCAGACAGTGACGTCAGCGACGTGTCTGCCATCTCCAGGACCAGTAGCACCAGCTTCCTGTCCGAGCAATCTGAGCGGCCCAGGGGCAGGACCAGGTGAGCGGATGCCACTGTGTGTACAAACCGGGTAAAAATGCACCGCGCTTCCTGAATGTTCTCACTCAAACAGAGTTTAGGTCAAGTAGCAGAAACATTTCATTGAAACTCCTGGGACTAGAGTGACTTCGGCGTTGATTCACTGTTGTGTAACGTTGCCTGGACTTTTTGGTACTTACTATAAGATGGGGCTGTAACCAGAGTCATATTTTAGAGATTGCTCTAAAATTCCTTCTCAAGTGATTAAATCCACAAAACATTCTTTAGTCCAGTGTCAGAAAGCTCTCTCTGTAAAAGGCCCCATAGTAAATATTTCAGGCTCTGCAGGACAGTCTCTGTCTCGACGCTCTACATTGCCACTGAGGTGCAGAAGCTCTGCAAACAAGTGAACACAGTCCTATTCCAATAAAGTTTTATTTACAGAACAACAGAGAGCGGGCTGCATTTTCCCCTAGGCTGTAGTTTGTTGATCATGCCTTCAATCACATAGCAGCTGGTCTGCCTTCAGGTGGATGTGATAACAAAATACACACCCCTCTTTTACAGTAGGGGAGTTGTAAGAAGTTTGCATGAAGTTTGTTTAAATCACCGACAGTTATCTTGATTCTCACAAGACAAATAACCCTGCCGAAAGGGAAAAGACCTGAGGAATCTGGCGCCATTTTCAGTACAGCATACTCAGTATGGACAAGGCATGTTTTATATTTGTTCTTAAGTAGTTCGCAGAAGTAGAAGTTTCATTGAAGGCATTTTGGGCTTGATGAGAGGACCAAGAAATATAAATGTTCAAAACAGGAGCAACTATCTTCCTGATGTTCCAAAAGCCTTTTATGATCGCACGTTTTGATGATGTATCCTGAGGCATTCCGTCTTCCTGGATTTCTCTGCACCTAGCTCACATGTTGAAGCAAATTGAGACCAATTATCTTACTGTTAATTAACAGTGCCACACTGAGATTCTGCAGGAGCAATTCTGATCGATCAAGACATTAAGAGAACGTTTTATCTCTATTTTGAATATTCTCAGCATCTGGTCCTAATAGGATATTAAGTTCTCTAAAATTTAAGCAAGAATGAAAAGAGCTGAGGAATGTAACCGTATTGAGCTGCTAGGATAGAGGGGTAAAAACGATTATAATCAATTCCTTTCTATTGAAATATTATTAAGATATTATGTTTCAAAACCTATTCGGTTTAGCAAGAATACTGATAAATAGGGCTTAAACAAAGACTTTTTTCACTTTTAGTCACTAAAAACAATTTACTCAATAACTACAAAACTGTAAATCTTGAAGTAATTTTATGTTCACAATAGAGCCACATACCCTGAGTCCTATGCTGTAAAGAATGACTAATTCACAGAATTCATGTTACCAACCAACTGTGAGCATAATATGTGGGTCCACTGTCATTCTCTTGAATTTCAGGAGAATAGGTTCTTCAGGGAAAATTTGGCTGTACGATTTTTGAGGAAGAAAGCAAAGAACAGAGAAATTGTAGGGGCCTCAACAACAAGGAACTATGATTTTATACAAAGGAAGAGAAAGAGCTTCATGGTAGTGATTGGAGCCAAGGTTACTCTGTGGGAAAATGCTAGTTTATCAGATAACACTCACTATAACTAGATCATGACAAGAAGCAGAAGATAGAGGATTTTTTGCCTCCTTGATTCATATAACTTTTATTACGTATTGAAGGTGGTGGGGATAGAGTAGACCCAGGAAGGGTGCAAATAAATTTCTTAATGACAAATCTGTTTTCTGAGGGCATTTCCCTGTTTCCGGCTTCCCTTTCCCTTCTCTGTGGTTTAGAGCACATTTGAGCTCAGTTATTTTTACGTAAGTGGATTATGTAAATGCAGTCAGTTAAGCTAATGGCTAAACAAGTTTCCCCTGAAGCTAATGTGAAGAAGTATTTTCCCGTAGTCCCGTACTTTAGATCAGGAATTCTTCGTATGTGGTGCATGTTTGATTTCTTAGAACACTTAGGAGGAGCAAAGAGGGTAAGATGAGCTATGGGAGGGGCAGGTCTTCCTTCTTACATCTTTTCACATATGTTCTTCCCCCTAAATATCCTCACAGGCGCACGGACACACATGTACACCCCCCCAACACACACACACACACACACACACACACACACACACACAGAGTTACTTTGGGTCCACCATCAGCCCTATGGTAAAAACCTGAGAGGAGGGTTTGTGATGAAAAATAAAAATGACATCAAAAAGTTGCAGGCTCTTCAGCTTTAAATATTCCCAATTCTTATAACACTATGAATAATGATTTTTCTCAATATAGTACTGCTTTGCATTTCGTGGTTTTTTTTAGTAACTAACACCTGCATAGGTTTTAAAATTTTATTTATTCAAGTTCATGGATAAAACATGAAAAATGTGATCAATATAATAATAGATGTATTTACATTTCATAATTGGTACCAGCAAACTTTTGAGTTCCTATCAAGCGTAAAGGCTATTATTTTCCAAGACTTCATGAAAGTATAATATCTAGGCCGCATACTCAAGGAGATTATAGTCTGTTTAAGAGTTTGAAACCTGTTTTTATATCCTGATTCCCTGCACAGCTGACCCTTGAACAATGGTTAGGATAGAATCGGGACTCAAACCCTAGTTCTTTTGATTCCACATATTGTGATCTCTAACTGAACAAAAACTTTCCCCACACTTAGTTTATTTAAAGGTCTATGGACTGAAAATATAAGTACTATATTTATTGAAAAAATCCCCATGTAAGCGGACCCATGCAGTTCAAACCCGTGTTGTTCAGGGGTATATGTCTCCACTCACATCTTCCTGTGACACAGGAAGTGTTTTACTATGCATTGCCTTGGATGGGTTTTCACCTGGAAGTCATTAGAAGGATTTAGAAGACACTGTAGCATCCCCTGAAGACAGTGCTCAGTACGTAAAAGTCAGCCAAGTGTCCACTGTCCTCCTGAAGGACCATAGGGAGAAACCACTGACTTGATCATACCAGTATCATACAGAACCGTAGTGTGTAAAGTACCACGTATGGTTTTGACTCCTTCTATCCAAGTATGCTGTGAACCAAGAAGATGTCAAGATAAGCACATCTGAAATGAGCAGTGGTCTGCACGGTATGATATATAGGCCAGCGTTTCCCAAACACTGCTTGCTACACTTTCCTGTTAACGATTCATAGTACACACTATTGTTCTTAACATTTTGAGACGTTCTCTCTTGTAACAACGTGTTTATCTTTGCTTATTCCAGCGCATACCAAAGTTATTTCATTCTGGAATGCCTATTTCACAGGGACATCCATTAATGTGTTGCATAGTTTTTGAGTGAAGCTTGGGAAATTCTGTTTAGATAATCAGCACCCTTCTGCCCAAGAGATAAAAGGCTGTACGGAAAGCTTTAAAAAGCCTGTTTGGGGGACGAATAAAATTAAGCACTTATCAGACGTGTATAGGTTGAAAAATACAAATATATTTGGATGATCAATCTCTAAAAGATCATTTTCAGAATATTAGGAACTCATGGGCCATATTCTGAATCTTCTGTGTTTGAGATAATGATTAGGCAAAAAATACCTTGACCACTTGGGGATGGACCAGCTAGACCATATGTTTCTGTGTGAATTGAAAAAGGGCATCTCTCCCCCCAGATGCATTCTAAATGCTTCATTCGAAATAGCCTAAAACATACTTCATGTTTTCAAAGTTTCTATATACAGGGAACTATAGTAGAAAAACATACACTATAATGTTTATATTAGGGTAATTAACCTTTTGTAGATATAAAGAATTAAAAGTTATTCTAAAATTGTTGTCACGGATTAAAACTACTTAAAATCTCAGTAATTTCTAGGATGATTCTTACAGGACAAAATCAACACTTAATACTTCAAAATAATAAACATCAATAAAGATTTGAAGTTCCTACTTTTTCAGACTTGTTCTGCACGTGAGTTACAATTTTAATTTCATATTGGCTTAAATATTCCTCGAAGAATATTTTCTTATCCAACCACAAAACATGCAAAGTATATTAGTAGAGGTGGCATAATTGATGATAAAAATGCACATATACTAGAAGCCCAGAAGGAATATGTTGAGTTTTTGAGTTCTCTATGCTTTTTTTAACATCAAAGAAGACGTTCACCTCAAAAAGAGGCTGAATTTTCATGACATAGCTCTGATTTTTTTTTCATCTTTATCATATAACCATTTCTTTCCAGGCAGACAAATTTCAGATGTTTTATACAAAATCAAGCTATAAAAGCAAATGCAAGCGTAATCCTGTAATTGCTCTCAGATGTTATACAGTTTTAGAAGTTCTGTCAAAAGCAACAATTTCCCAGCAGCATTCACGTTTGTGACAAAGGTTTGCCTTGATCTATAAGGTTGCCTTTCTATATCTAAGTGGATTTTGATGCAAATAGTTTTTGGTCTTTTTATCATCTCCTTTTGAAAGAATATTTTCAAAAGCAGTTATCTTTTTCTACATTCGTAGTTTGAAAGACTTGAGAGCTTTTTAAGAGGAGTTGTCTTCTATACACAATTATTAATCTTGCAACTGTAAATTTACTCAAATCTGGCAGGTGATGTCACTAGGCATAATAATTAGCGTATACTGAAGGAAATACGCTTATATTTATTGGGGGATTTTAAAACATTGTAGGTTAAATTATTTGATATTTTAAATTGTGATAGAGAATGAGTGCCTAGGTTAATATCTTCCAGAAAATCAATCTTATTATTGCAATTATGCTTGAAAAATATTACAGAAAATCCCTTTATTTCACGATAGTTCTTCAACTCAGCAAGGGAATACGGGATACCATTTTAAAAGAATCTGGATTTTCTGTGATGGCATTTGAAAAATACTTAATTGCAAAATCATTTGAGCAATTAACAGCTCAGAATACCAAAGGAAGCTTTCATTTTATATACTTATTCATTGTTATGCCTACTGACATTGAATACAGCCAGGAGTGCCCAAGAGGGAA